TCAGAATCATCTTCTTTGGAAGCAATGATTAAAGGACTTTTTGCACAAGCACAAGCACAAAACCAAGCTTTAATAAATCAACAAAGTGCGGCCATCAGGAATTTAGAGACTCAAGTCAGTYAATTCGCGCTTAACCAGAATAGTCGAGCCCATGGAACCTTGCCCAGTAATACAGAAGTCCCTAGAGACTTAGGTAAGGAACATGTGAAAATAGTGACTCTTAGGAGTGGGAAGGAGTTGAAAGAACAAGTGCCCAGAGATAGTGTACCAATTTTGACAAAAATTGATGCTACAGCATTGGTTCCTGCCAAAGAAAGCCCGGTCCTACCCTTAGAGAAACAGGCATTAGAGACCACCACTTCTGTCCCCCCTAGATCAGACTTTCCATTACTCTTTCCTAAGGATGCTCTAGAAAATTCAAAAGCAGCTGAGGTTTTAGAGACCCCTAAGCTAAATGTTAACAGTTCATCTGAACCTCCAAAGGGCACCACAAAGACCCAAGGCACTCAAGACCCATCTTGCTCAACTCATCCAAGTAAGAATGTAATAAAACAGTACCTCCTTATGTTCCTTACCCCCAAAGGTTGAGGAATCAGAAAGATGAACTGCAATTTAAGAAATTCTTGGATGTGTTTAAAGAATCGCACATCAACATCGCACTTGTTGAGGCAATTGAGCAAATGCCTAGTTATGCCAAGTTTCTGAAGGACATCCTAAGCAAGAAAAAGAAGTTGACTGAATATGAGACAGTAGCCCTAACTGAAGGATGTAGTGCACTTTTGACCAATAGAATACCCCCTAAACTGAAAGATCCAGGGAGTTTTACCATTCCTTGTTCAATAGGAGGGAAGGAGATAGGGAAAGCCCTATGTGACTTAGGAGCTAGTATCAATCTCATGCCATTGTCTGTTTTCAACACCTTAGGCATAGGAGAGGCTAGACCTACCACCGTCACACTCCAACTGGCCAATAAATCCATTGCATATCCTAAGGGAAAAATTGAAGATGTTTTGGTTCAAGTGGACAAGTTCATATTTTCAGCGGACTTTATCATTCTAGATTTTGAGGCAGATAAGGACATTCCTATTATCTTAGGAAGACCATTTCTAGCCACCGGAAATACTTTGATAGACGTCCAAAAAGGAGAATTGACCATGAGACTCCAAGACCAGAAAGTCACATTTAACGTCTTCAACTCTCTAAAGTACCCTGATTACTTGGAAGAGTGTTCAAGAATATTTGAGATAGAGGAGATGTGTTAGGAAGAAGGAATTTACAAGAACCTTAAGTTGAAAGGAGAACATGATGAGGAAATAGAAGAGGAAAGTATTGAGGAGATAAAGGAATTAGGAACTGATGTTGTCCCAGTGGATGCTGCAGCATTTGAGCTGCTAGAAAATAATGAGCAAAAAGACTTCACCCCGTCCATAGAATCACCACCTGATTTGGAGTTGAAACAACTCCCGTCCCATCTAAAATATGCTTTTCTAGGAGAAGAAGGCAAATTGCCTGTCATTATCTCATCTACCCTAGAATTGCATCAAGAAAAGAAACTTGTGGACATGTTGAAATTGCATAAGAAAGCCTTAGGATGGACCATTGCTGACCTAAAAGGGATTAGTCCATCTATTTGTCAACATAAGATCATCCTAGAAGATAGAAATTTCACTTCCATAGAACCCCAAAGAAGGCTGAACCCTGTCATGAAAGAGGTAGTCAAAAAGAAGATTTTAAAATGGTTAGATGCCGGAATTATTTTTCCGATTGCCAGTAGTTCTTGGGTTAGTCCGGTCCAGTGTGTTCCTAAAAAGGGAGGGTTCACAGTCATCACGAATGAAAAAAATGAACTTATCCCTACTAGAGTTGTCTCTG